CCAACTAATCTATGCTATATCCACCTGGGCTCCATCCATCAAGGTCGCTTCTGAAATTATAAGGAAAAACAGACTATTTTCATTTTCCTGTCACACAAATAGCATGTCCTAGCCAGTATGAAGGGCTGAAAGCACCTATTTAAGATATATAGTTCATCAYTCAGACCTATTTCTATCAAGAGCAGATGGAGACAATTAAATTTCTTCATTTTGATGGAACGAACAAATAATTTCCTAGACAACTATAACTACTCAAATAACTTAAAAAAGTGATATTCCCTTTACAGTATTTTAAATAGGGAAATTAAAACTTTATAAACATACTACTTATCTAAGCAGCTGGTGAAGGACAATAGACCACAAGTGTGCTAATCCTTTATTAATGACAATTCCTTTAAATAAGCAATATTAACGCACACGAACAGAACTAGAYATTATACYGARCATGCTGGATATGACATCAGCCATTAGGAAGGGTGATGCGTGGTTTACAAGATGCAGATTAAAAGTTTCTGCCAGTGTTACAGATATCAACTGCCATACAAATCCAGTGCTTCCAAAACAGACAGTTAAAATAAGTGTATTTCATATGGATCTCTAGTAGTTTATAGTTGTTCACCAGAATGACCTTCTACCACAGTTACTCCAAGCACAAAAATAGGCAAGGTATTTTCCAGTACCTTTGCTAGTGCMAGGTATTCCTGCTATCTTACTTTTTGCAACCATTGCCTTTTACTGCAGTACCTGATTTTGAGTGTCATGAGTGATATTACTGTATGGCGTTATGGTAAAAAATACAAACACTTGTGTACCTGTTATCAGGCATTTAAATATAACCAAATAAACTATATAAACTAAATATAAACATAACTCAGATGCCTCTGTAAACACAGCCGTCCTGGTAAAACACTGGATATCTTACACAAGGCCAGACTTCCCAGTCTAGCTGTCTTCCCAGACAGCCAAATGGTTTCTAATACAACAGTCAAACACAAGACACAGGAGTTGCTGAACATGCCAGATTTTTGTACCACTTCCAGAGGGGAGAAAAGAGTCTTAAGCATTGTAGTCAAGCGCAGTTAGACAAGGAGCTTATAAAGAGCCCTTCCCTTAGGAACAGGTGCAGGTTTTTGTTCTGAGCACAGAGTAAGAGGGAAGAGTCCAGAAATACACGGATGCAGTCACGGCATTCCCAGCTGCCTGAACACTCGCAGCATTCYTCAACTGGCTTACCTGAACTAACTGGCTGTCCTGAAATAAAGACCAAATAAACTGCCAGCATTTATTTTTGTTCCTGAAAACTCAGGAATGAATATCACAAAGCCTGTTTCTTGATTCTACCTTCCATTGCTGTGTATGGACTGCAAGGTTAAGTAAGTAAAATCCCTCAAAAAGGATCAACAGGTGATAAGACTGTCTTATGAAACAAGAAAGGATAAACTATTACAACAGGCACAGCTGGAAAATAAGTGAAATGCAAAATTATGATTTAATGATACTTTCTTTGGGGATTCTGTTCATTCTTTTGGATGTCTGGAAAATGAAAAACCCCAAGACCTCTGCTTCACACACAACTTAATGGAAAGACACATCAGTGCCATTATTTTTCCTATCACTGCGGTGGACAGAGATGCATCTGACATACACAAACAGGCGCAACAAAGTGACAGGAATATGAATGCTTATACCACATTCATAACAAAAAAATCTGTGCCTGAACTGCCTGGATGGCTAAAGAAAAACACACACACACACAAGTTAAGCATTCCTTGTTTGACATAAATTATTCTTTGTCTATAAGTTAACAGATGTCAATATAGAATATTTTTTCAGGGGAGACATTTGTCAATCTGTCAATACAATTTAATGCATATATGACAAGCAAACACTCGTTAACATCAACTGATTTGATTAATCTTTGCTGTCATCACTGACAGGCTTAAAAAAAAAAGCTGTCCAAGGAGCTCTGGGGAAGGAGAGAAAAAAATAACCCACCCACAAACAACAGACAAATCTGCCACAAATCCCTGATTTTAGTGTTACTCTGTAATTGGAAACAATTGCTAGGCCCAGGACTAGAGCCAGTCCCACCACCGACATCCAAGCRGTCTTCCCATCTTGAGTTGCTACTTGCAAACAGAGTTTTTCCCTTTTTGCCAAAACAGATGTACCACACAATTTCAGAGAAACAAGACAGGCAACAAACAATAGAGACACTGGAATTTAGATTATGGAAAGTAAGGAATGCAGAGCCATGGCAGTGACCTGCCTGACCCAGGACGTATTGGATACGGCAGCCTGCAAACACGGCCGGCAGCGAGTAAAAGGGTCACTGACCCCCGGGCAGCATTTCCATTCCAGAGCCAGGCAGCAACCTTCTGCAATAAACAAAAAATGTAAAAAATATATAGACACTGACAACAGACAGATTAAACCAGAATCAAGATGGAGCCCAGCTTCACTAAATCAAATCAGAGCACACCTGTATTTCTTTTTTTTTGCTTTAATACAGAAATGGATACTTTAAAGACAAGTAGAGAAAGAGATCTACTTCAAAGTACAAATGAACATTTCCTCCTGCAAGAGCTCCTGTAATATCCTTAATGCTTCTAGGGCCATACTTCAAACCTAAATGTCAGTACTACTCTGTATTAGAGCATTGCAGACATTTTCGCAGTTCATCCATTCCTCGGAGCCCCGTGTTGTTTGGGGACATTAACAAGTATTAATTGGCCTCGGAGCTCCCAGGAGCAAATTTTTATCTTCCCAAATGAAGTGGGAATCAGGTTAAAGGTTGCAGAGTAATTATTGACCAGCTGCAAAGCGTGCAAGCTGTACTAGCCACAGTGACTCTTGGGATTAAAAACCTCAATATTAGCTAAGAAAGGACTCATTCAATTAACTTTCTGCTCATCACTACACTAACGGACATTTAACATGGGGAGAGGAAGTAATAGATACACATTCACTACATGTTCTGAACAGAAGATAAAACATGAAGTATTTATAATAAAAGTGCATTGACACCAAAACCTCAAGTGTTTGATGCTAGGCTAGTTTGTACCAGCTCGGGCAGTTAGTCTCCTACATATTGGCATAACTGCACTAATCCTAATGCGAATGAACACAGAATCAGCTATGCTGCGTTTAGGCTAAAGCCATCACGGCAGAGCTGCAGTGATGAAGGCACAAGTGACTATTTGCACCCCCTTTCATGCCACCTTTTCTTCTTTTGCCTCGTTGTCTCACCTAGCTTCGTTAAGCACAGAGAAGGCAGCTGGTGTTAAGCAGTACCTGGAAGAGAAGGGGGATGAATTTCCAAATTAGATGTTGGCTCTGCAGCTATTATATAGCTGGGAAGCTACTGAAATGCCTTTGTTTTAAAATTGTTTCAACTCAATATATTTCATCACTGAAATTAATACCTGCTGTTTGTGTTGCAGCAGAGAAAAAACCTATTTAGCATAGTAATAATCATCAACTAAGTTGTGTATCTAAGGCTTTATTGCACCTGCTTCTTCATTACTGTATCTAATACAGGTTTTAAGAACTAAATTATGTCTCAGTCCAACCATACTAAGCACACACTGTAGAACAATAAACACAAATGAATCTTAGTGTAAAGCTCTGAGAAAAGCTAAAATTCACGAAAATGAAAATACGCATAACTATCTACTAATATGAGACTATGAAGGAAACTATCAGATTTTCTAACAGGAATCTCAGGCTCCATCCTGCCTCTATTTGCCCCAGGCAAGACATCTTGCTTCTCTAACTCACCAGCTCTGTGTTCTTCAAGGCATGTTAACAACTCAAAGCCTGTAAGATCAGTAACCAGAATGAGACAAACTCCCACCTTCCTTAGGGCCTTGGACAGAACATACATTTCGACCTCTACAAATGAAAGATCAGTACTATGCAAACCATRAGAAAACAAAAGAAAAAAACAGAAAAACTGTTTTAAGTCATGCAGAAGGCCCTCCCATAGTCTAGCATAGCGATCAAGGCTTGAAAACATGCAAGAATTACAATGACAAACAGCTTCCAATATAAATGCTATAGATACCTACTTGGCACACCATAGTTCGTTTTTTTTTTGCTTTGAAACTGCTGCACACAGTATCTTCATCTATTGRAAAAAATCATGATTTCTTGCTTACTGCTGTGCAAGATAAATACATATATTATATATAATTAGTGATGCATTTTTTTCCACAGGAAGATGGTATTTAGGTGGACTGCTACCTTAGATTCCAAAAAAAAGAGGCTAAGGCAGAGAAAGAAGATGAAGTCAGTTTGACAGTAGTAGTAAAATACTGGAATTGGGACTGCAGGGGAGATGCTAAGGTCTAGGAGGCACCTCAGACAATCAGAGCCCTTAGACATGTATCTGATTTTCATTAGTAAAATCCATAGGCAACTAACGTTCCAGCTACACACAAAAGCAAAAGCAAGAGATGTTGGGGCTCGTCAGCTGGCACTGGTTCCGTGTCTGTGCCCTGTCAATATCCCTTAAGTAGAGGCTGTTCCTGTTTCGGCTTTTCTTGTTGCTCCAGAGGAGAACTGCACCTCCACCTGCATAAGGAGGAGTTGGAGCCTATTGGGATAGGATACCAGGCAGGATATGTTAACTAAACACAGGCTGTATCCTGCAGTGCAGAATCAGGTATTTTAGAAACCCAGAGGTGAAGAGGACACAAATCAGCCTTGAGAACTTGCTATTTGCTTAGCTTGCATCTTCCTTCTCGCTCAACTGTGGAACTAAATTAACAGGCAGGAATAACAMTGCAAGTATCAAAATCTCCTCACAAATTACACTTAAGGAGCCAAAAAAGTACCAGAAAAGTCACTCCAGTGGTTCACAGCAAAGTCATCTTCGTGGCACTCCATTACTAGCTCATTACCTATATATTGAGCACTATGCTTGGATGACATCTAGAGTAGCATTGTCTCGTTGAGCTGGAAAGCTTTCTGCCAGAAAACAGTGCAGGGATTTTTACCTTTGGGTCAGCAGTCAGCAGCTTGAAGGCTTGGTAGACCTGGGCTTCTTTGACCCCTCCACCAAGGTCCAGGAAGTTGGCTGGTCTCCCCCCATTCAGGGATATTATATCACAAGTTGCCATTGCCAGGCCAGCTCCATTCACTGTAATTGCAAATGTTAAGTGCTTATATTTCCCATAGGCAATGGAAGATTTGCGATAAAGGTTCAAGACAGCATRTCGATACAACCATGAAAACAAGCCCCGAAGCTTCACAGAAATGCTTATTTTTAAATAGGTCAGAATCTATTCAAGGATGTCCAATAAAAGAAAATATTCAAAATGAGGTGTATACAAACCCACGTTTACATTTTTTACAACAGTATCAGTTTCCAGGACTTGTGCACCTTCCATTACATATGTGTGARATAATGTACATGCTAATACTTATGGTGCTAAAGCAAACATACAGAACAGATAATTTTCTGTGAGGACACACTACCTCCTTGGGTTCTCCTACCATCATTCTCAYAGCATTAAATGATACTATGTCATCATGGTAAACCAGATACTTAATTTTGGGGAAAGATTTTACACATACGCTGTAGCAGCACCTTTTCAACAGTCTAATTTCTGAAAATTAGTGATCAAATTTACATGTCTGTCTTGTTTAAATTACTGGAAAAATCAATTGTATYAGCTTAAGAATTCAGAACAAACAAAATAATCACAAAAAAGCAGACTGCCCATGTTARTCTGCCGTCTCTCTGGCACCACATGCGACCTGACTCTGCTGGCTGCTCTACTGAAGCTTCAGCAGAGGAAGTTCAGTCCTGCAAGAACTTGAGGAACGACAGACAACCTCAGCAAAATCAACTGAAATATTGTCAGAGGGGCACTGAATGCCAAAATGTAAGCAAAGTCTACACAGTGAACCCATATGAATTCATCTTCAAGATGTCTTTTGGATTTATTTTTTCTTACCAAAGCAAGCAATATTTCCATCCAGTCCTATATACTTCAGGTCATATTTGGCAGCTTCGTTTTCTATAGGCTCATTTTCAGACTTGTCATCCATGGCAAATATTTCTTTTTGCCTGAATTCTGCATTATCATCAAAGTTTATCTTGGCATCAAAGCAAACAACTAAAGAAAAAAACAACATGGGGACATTCCACAMTACACAGTCATTTGCCACACAATAGGAGGTAACAAAACAGTTTATCTTCTGCATTTACTTTAAATAAAGTGCCCTTAAGTCATRGGGGCAGGTGATTTGGACTGTACTTTCAAAACTTTGTGTCAAATTTCAGCATTCAGGAAGGCATTCAAAAATATTATAGCAAGCCAGTGACCCAAAACAGTGCTTGGTAACATCCTCTCTTATTTATAGCTGAACACTACACAACACTTCCCTGAGCTACAGTTTAATTTTAAAGTATTTAACTGTACACACACATTCTTTCCCTGGCAATATGAATTAAAACATCTTTAAGCCTTTATATATTAAGAATGATCAATGCATATTTTTTAAAATAGAAAAAAAGGAAAGAGTAAATACAAAAGCTTTCTTCAACATCAACATCCCCCATGGTTATTAAAACAAATTTAAAAGTATCTATAGCTGATAATAAATAATAGTCAGAGACTAGCTAGTAGACATAATATTCAGATAAAAATAAGTGGTAATAAAAATGCATATAGTGAAAACTGATTATTTGCCTATTTACTAACTCACCATTTTTATGGATTTGCACAGGCAAGCACTTCATTAGATTAAAATGTTATAAGTACACAGAAGACTATATATTGATAATCTTAAGTAACATCGGTATATAATTTTGAGGAGATAATGACAGAATAAAGTATAATTCATCTCTCAAAGCAAGCATGTCAGATATAAATACCAGAGCCCCCAAAAATCTAATACTGTTTATGACTGTTCTTAAAACAGTTTGSATTCATATTGTCATTGGAATATATCTATATGCACATCTACTRAGCATTGCACTTGTCTCTGATATCAAAGAATAACAGACAGGAAGACAGCACCAAATCCAGTTTCAATATTTAGAAAAATATTCATAAGTGTTCATACATAGTAGATTTCCCTGATCTTACTCTGTAAGAGATCAGCTGAGAATCTGCCAAAAGGAGAAGTACTTGCTGTAATACTGCTGCTTTAATAACTATTTTATTTTTTGTTACTCATGAACTAAGTCCTGGATCATTTTTCCTTTACAAGTTTTCCATTATTTCAATTGCAAACACAACTTGGAGCTAAAGTAAAAGGGCAGCTTTGGAGCTCTAGGTTTTCCTTAGACATGAATAACTTCAATGTCACATCAGTAAARCCTCATTTCTATAAAACATTCATCTTTTACAAGGGCCAGGCTGTATAAGGAAGGGGAAAAACACTTATTAATATTTATCAAACAATTTTCACCATCAAAAGCATATTATTACATGCATGATAGATTATACAAATGAATTTTCTTTCTAAACAAATATCAAAGAAAGCTCTAATACTTATATTCAGAGTATTCCTATTGTTTTTGTTAGCCATGTACASTTTTTCTCATCTGCCAATTCAACAGCTTACACTGAGAACAAATAAAACTAAACAAAAAAATCCAAAGAAATATTGTCTGTCTCTCAGGGCCTTGAGCCAGGAGTGTTAACAAAAAGAATTTGCTACAAAATTAAACAAAACAAATACATAAAACAATTCATTTTCTAATGGAAATTCACAGAAGTGAAAAAATACAGCAAGAAATAAATCCATCCTAGCCATTACTTCAACAGAAATATGGGTATTCATATGTAGAGCTATGTTTTATCATTAGAATAATGATTAAGCTTCTGCATTACGCTAAAAGTTAAAAAAAAAGTTAAGCTTTTGCATAAAGCAAATCAAAAGTTAAAAAATAGTTAGCATGCAGCAGAAATTGTTTGCAAATGTAAACTCTAGTTCTCTGGACAGAGGATGCCAGGAGTAAGAATAACAATCACTGAACAAGGGATTAGAGATCTTTCCATCTCACACAAGTGAATTGGACAGGAATGACAATTGGGAGGGTGTCAGTTGAAAATCCAACTACCAGAAGGATAGAAGATAACAAGATAAATCAGCTTTTTCCTTTTTTTCTTACCCTAAACTTTCTTACACCTATATGCCTGGTGAAAGCAAATCAATCACCCTTTCCTTTCCCCAAGTATATGGTCGGGGACAATTCCAGTTGGATTTTTCTTGTGATCTAACAGGCTGCAGAGTCACATACTTAAGATCATAACTTATCTATATACTTAAGCAACCAAGATAATAAGTCTCTTCCACAATCCTGTTAATTCYGACAGCATTAGCAAAACAAAATGCCTCTTTTGTACATAAAGAGGAGTATGTTGCTCTTTCTCAACAAGCATAATCTATAAAAACGGATACTCTCCCAGTATTTGGRCAAAATAACAAAAGGTATTGAAATGTAAAATCTGCCATGGGAACACTTACGAATACTGCTTAAAATTACATTACAGAATAAAATTAATGCAAAGCTGCTGCTACCATCTTCCATGCAATTTAATTTATAGTTTGCATAAATAAAGAATTATAATGAATTCATTTGTTTCCTTTAATTTCTCACCTTGCCCTTCTGGAGTTTCACCAAAGGGATTCACTTCAACCTGAGTGGCATCAATTTTCAAGAAAAGATTATACAGCTTCTTAATTTGATCTGCTGCCTAAATTGATCAAGAGATTTATAATTACCATAGAGAAAAATACAAGTTACTTTCTACAAAGCAAAATGTAAAAYATTTTTGATTATTTTAAAAGTATTGAATCGCACATTAGCTCTGGATGATTACTGCTTTTATCTCCCTTTTTCAGTCATAGTCATATACCAKCTAAAAAAGCTACATTTATGACACTGCATAATCTTCATGAAGCTTCCATTTAAAGACCACATGAATTGGAGATTTCCTATAACGTATAAAAATTATTAATATGAGCTTAATTGGAAAATGGCTTAGCAGTTCATAATGACACATTCCTCAGTGTGTCGAGATCTAAATTATAGTGATGTTGATCAGTCAAAATTCAAAACCTATAGAGCAGTAAGTGCACATGAGTGACTTCGGTAAAACYGTACACTTCTTCCTACATCACTCTGCTTTCTTGAAGAAATTATGACTTAGACATGCTTGCTTACTTCTTAGAAGGTACTTTTGCTTGCTCCTCATTGCTCCTTGCAATCTATCCTGCTCTGACTGGTTGTCAGCAACAGTATAGATTGGTCTGAGTAAAAATGATGTCCTTGTGCTTCAGTGAATTCCAGGCAGGAGCTGATAGCACAAGGGAAAAATACACACACTGCAGCATTATTCAAATGTATTGTTGAAAAAGTGTGTGTATGAGTGTTAATTATTAAGTACCAGAACTCCTCAAGGGTTGAAAGGTTCTACGTAATCATTCATCCTYATTAAATACACTGCTAAATCTTCAAATGTGTGTTAATCAACTTAATGATTATGCATTTGTTAATTGCACAGTCAGGACAGAAAATAATTGAAACTGCTGAATTAAAAATAAAAGAGTTCTATAAAAATGACAGTTTGGTACTATGCTAAAAAAGGCAAGTAGCTTAATACTGYATTTGTCATTTCAGCTATTAATGTTAACCTAAATAAGCCTTTTCTTATCCATAAAATGATTCATAAAGACAAAATAACTTCAACATTTGTGTACAACATGGAATCCAATAAAAAAAGAAATGAGATATTGAAAAGGCAACAAATTGGCAGACTTCAAGTTTTAAGCTGAAGCAAGAACAAAAAACACTGCAATTAGACAGAAAAAGATACAATGTTAACTTGTCCTTGTAACAAGGAAAAGTGTCTCCAGAAAGGATTTACCCTTGTCATTCACCACGCTCCAACAGAATCCCAAGGAAATTTGRCATTAACAGAACCTTCTCATGGATTGGTCCAAAGACCAGGGACTTTCATTCCTGGAGTAATAAGGATACTATTCAGATCAGTAGTAAGATCAATTCACAATTTTATGGGTACAATGTAGTATTTAAAACATCAGAATGTGTCTGATCTAGTGGACATTTACCCTCTCGTATCTATCTGGGAAGCACTTCGGATGTAGCTGAGCTAGAACATCTTCAATCAAAACTCAGTTACCTGCTGCTGCAAAGTTCCTCTGAAACCCAAATTTTCTGCCATGCGCAGTGCTTGATGATCCTTTATGCCTTCAAAAATATCTATTTCCTCCTGTAACAATAACATGCATAAATATAAATATTCAATTTAAATTGAGATTCATAACTTCAAGAGAAAAACACTTCGTATATATTTGCAAATTAGTAATTAAAGTATGGCTGTTTGCCAAAGTTCCCTAGGAGTGAGGCTATAGCAGCTGCCTATAGGGTATGTTATAATTACCACACCATCTATGAAACAGTCCTTCCAAAAAATACATAATTCTTCAGGGTGGCATGCTGACAAGACAATCTGACACCAGTTTTCACTTTTAATTACTGTACAGATGGCGTTGACGAATATTTAGTTTGTTAATTTTTATGACATCTTCTGGAATATTTTCAAAGCAACAGTGTCACTGCCCAGTAACACTATGAGGTTTATATAATTTTAAAATGCACATTAAATATTTTCCATTTTTTTGCATAATTATACTTGTTTGTATCAATTATTTTACCAGGTGAATAGCCTGTCTACTCATTATCATACCACAGTAGCATTAAAAAAACTTAAATGTAACAGTTAGCATAAAGAAGGCAATAATTGTCAAAAATCACAACAGTCAATATTTGAGATACAGGTTACTAAAAAAATAAACAATAACGTTATCAACTGGAAAGCAAAAAAAATTAGAAAAGGGTTAAACAGATACAGAAGATCTTGAACATAAAAGGTTACTATTTCAATACCTTAAATATAAGCTCTGGGTTAGTAACAGCCACTTCTTCAATGTCAACACCACCACGTGGGCTCCCGACCATAACAGGTCCATTACAGGCTCTGTCCATCAGAATTGCAAAGTATGTTTCCCTGGAAATATTCAGTGCTTCTGCAACCATCACCTGAAAATGAACACGGGGAAGAAAGAGCAACACTGACTGGACCATCCAGCTGGGGATAGTTAGTCTAACACAGCATTTCTTTCCTGCTGTGTCAGAGTAGTCAAGGTCCTAAAATCTTTTGCAAGATAAAATGTAATTATGAATTAACAGAAGCAAGGACAGAATTTCCCTCTGCTGTGACCAGACAACACTGTGGTTCACATTTTCTTCACTGCCTTAAAAAGCAGCAGTGTGATACCCATTCTCCTGAACAGTACCTTTGGCTTCATTGCTTCTGCAAGACAGTATGATCCAGTGGCCAACTACGTTCTTCCTTAGCAGGGTTATTACTACTTACCTTTCAGTGAAAGCAGAAGAAACCAAGAAAATCATTTCTCTAAAATCAGTATATTTAAAAAGGAATAATTGACAATGCCCTTCTAATGTGTGCTATAAATGATAATTGTAGGCAAAAGTTGTAACTCTGCATGAAACATTAGGTCAAATACATACTATGTGTTGAAACAAAGTCTAAGTTTAAACTTAGACTGGAGAGCCAAATACACATCTGTAGCTTTAAAATCTCTGCCCACCTGGCAAGATGCGTTCCTCAAAGAAGCAATGATGTGTTTTCACAGTTCCAGGACTAGAAACAGGCAATGTGCACCATACTTTCATCCAAGTTGCTTTTTGACACTCTGCTATTGAGTGTATGAGAAGGAATGTACTTACCTTATGTCAAGCCGTATGTCTTCACAGAGCACAAGAATGAGGAAAGATAAGGAATTAAATAAAAACCCCTCATTAGAATGGAAGGATGCTATTTATTTATGGTTAATTGCCTGGGAAGAAATTTCTTTTTACCATAATTTTGCTTTCTTCTGCTTTCCTCAAAAGACAYAGGGTGATATAAAGAAATAGCTTAAATAAGCAACTGTCAAAAAGCAAACTGAAGAAAACTAGGGGAAAGGAAAYAGCTAACTAACAATCTGGAAAACTACTGTACATCTTAAGAGAATTTCTCAATTTAAGGCTAGCTTAAAAGGAATGCTATAAAAGCCAGCTTCAGAAACACAGCTCAGCTACCTACCACTATATGTTAAATTAACAAGCAAAGGTGCAGAAAGCATCCTTGGCTTGTTACAATTAGGTTTTTTTACCTGAAGACATGCTTTCACCATCTCACACATTGTGCTCTCMTCAGTGTATCTGAAAAATGKGAGTCAATTGCTTTAGACATGGGTCAAAGAAAACCACCTGGTCTTACTGGAACTTGTCTGAGTTGTTCAGACCGTTCCCAGCACGCTCAGGATCAGGGCCAGATTTCAGACAGAGAATCACCTCACCTAGTCTTGAACAATATATGTGCAAACACTGCAGGTGGATCTTACACCAGGCATCTTTATTTCAAATTTGAAAAATTGTCCTCACGATTGTTAATATTGCCAAATTCAACTCTTACTCCCCAAAATTATTGCAATTCCATTTACTTTGCAGTAGGCAAGCTTGTTGTACAGTAAAAACTGTAGTCTTCTGTAACGTCTCTCATTTTTCTCAAAGAGAACCAACTTTCTTTCACCATCTTACCTGACTGATGCAAAGCATGAATAGATAAATTGGCATTCAGGGACTTCCAAGTATTTTTTTCTAGGATCTACCTATCATTTACACAATAACAAAATAACAAAAACCCATCAATAAACACTTAAGACTAGTGCAATTGACTTTTCTGTACTCTKGACTAGACTATCATTTTGTCTGTTTTATGACTCTCATTATCCTGTTTATCACATCAGCTTTGTATTTAAGACGTCCTGGGGGAAAAACAGACTTTTCTTCAAAACTTCCTAATAACTTCAGGTTTTCCATCTTAAACACAAATCTTTACCTAAAGGTTTAAGCTATGTCTAATTTCATGAGGATATCCTGTAAGAGCTCTTGCATAAYGAATTAAATATTCAAAATCTTAATTCTCTTCCTGCTTGGAGAGAAAACACAGGTAGCAAATTCTCAGGGTGTCACAAGAGAAGCCTGTCTTCTCAGATAACCAGACTCTCTAAATTGCAAAGTGCCATGAGAGGATTCTAAGCAAACTCACAAAACAGCTTCCAAGTTATGAYGGAACCGAGGCAACTTACTTAAGAAACATCACTCTGAATGACTGGAAACATGTTTTAAATGCTTTAGAAAGTGCTAATGGTGAAACAAAATTGAAGACTCCGTTTTCTGCCCTGCAACCAGAATAATTATGGAAAATGTCTATCTTTTATGACTTCCTTATGAGTAGAAGTGACACGCATGAGTTCCACTCCCTAACTTAACACTAAAACTTGTTCACCTTCTACAAAGTAATAGTTATTTTCTTTCTGAAGAAAATGATAAAYACCTAAATTTTTTAAAATACAAAATTCACTCAAACTTTCCAGAATAGCACAAATTAAAACACCACTAACAAATTAAACACACCTAAAAATATGCTCTTTATTTTCCTAGTGTACTGTCATTTCCTTTAAGTATCAGTAAAAGATAAATCTTACATACACATAGAGATCATATACCTGGAAATAGAACAAAAAACAGTTTTCCTTCTTTTTTGTAGATGTCCCTTTCAAATAAAATTTCAGTGTTTAGCATCATAGTGTTGATACTGCAGATCTGAAAAATTCAACCCCATAACTTACTACTTTAAAGACCCTAGCATGAGCTAACTTCAGAAAAGAAAATCTTACTTTTTCTGGACAACACTTCCTCAAAGTATCTCAATAACAAAGGAAAAATGTACATATTCTATTAAGGCTATATATATCTTCCTATAGCAGCAAAATAAATAAAATACGTTATACCTTCTATAGCTACCCTAAATACAGTACAAGAGAGATGTGAACATAAAAAACACTTAAACCATTAAAAGAAAAATCCRTATTTTTCACTTCTATCAATATATAAAAAAATCAGACCTGAGCATGTAATTTCTAAAAGAAAGTCACTTTTACAACACACGTTTCTCAAAACAGAAAATTACAATCTGGAATAAGTATCCATTTTTTTTTTTAATATCCTTAGCATTATCACCCTCTCTGACGGGCAGGCCTTAATGACAATACTTTCTTCTTTTAAAAATTTAGTATTTCTTTTGAACAACAGCTCTTCGGAACAAGGAAAACCTGCCCTCCTTGCTCTCCCRCAGAACCACCACCCCATCCCCTTCTGCCAGCCCTCGTTAGGCAGCATCCTTCCAGACAGGTGCTCCCCTCCTATGCTAATGCCAAGCTGTTCACAACAAATTAAAAAGTAAACTGCATTTCTTTCCAGCTCATGCCAAATTATCTCCTGGCATCAAATACATCACATGGCTCTTGTCTACACACCTGACTGAAGATACTTCCTAAGGCCCACAAAGCAAGAAATAAGATGCATATAGCAGGTAGATGAATAGTAGGATTTCTTGAATGCTAGCAGAGCTTTACTTAATGTTTAAGAGTACCTTGTGGAAGGGAAGACTGTTTCTCTTACTTAGGCCACTGCATAAAAATGGTTTAAAGTGAACCTTTCACATAATTACAGTATGRACAATCATAGGCAAATGACCTAAGATACACATATATACATATGTGTGTGTGTATAAAAATAAATCTGATGAACCACCACCAAGACTATTTTTCACTCTGCATCTGCAACAAGTTAAAAATGGTCAGAAGATGTTTGAAGTTGAGGTCATTCTCAAGTCATCTGTTCTTATTAATAACAGTTGCTCAAAGTTGGTGGTGAATGAAACATAACAGTGTGGAGTTAGTGCATAATACAYATTCTCTTTTCTAAACAGACCATCAATAAAGCATGAAGTAATAATATACTTATCCTAGCATTTAGTATTTGACAAAGGATGAAGCTATGATAAAGGACTCACTTCATCACAGGTAACAGGATGGAATTTATTCCTCTGTGACACAATCTTTACTGATAGGCAAAAACAGATATATACAAAAAACCCAACATTACTTCCCTCAATCAGATGCATCAGTCAGACACTGGAAAAGGAGCAGAAAAATCTATGGCATACACTCTAGCACAGTAATGCAGAATTGCAGTGAACACTGCAATGAACTAAAGAGCCCAAATCTTACCTTTTTAACCGTCACGCCGTCCTTTGGAGTTTGCTTTGTTGACARGTTGTACCCAATCATCTGCTTGGCAAGTTGTTCCACAACCTTAGGACTACAAGCAAAGGAAAGAGTGGTGTGATAACAGATATTAAAAGAAACAGTCACCAATAACTGTAAATAGCTTCAACTACAACAAAATGAATTTAKGTTGCTTCTTTTCTTAAAAGCCTTACTCTTTTGTTAAATGAACTCCTCCTTTCAATCCACTATTGAAAACACCTTTTCCTCGTCCTCCAGCTAGAATCTGAGCCTTCAGAACAATCTCCTTTGCCTCTGTAAAAGAAAAAAAAAGTTAAAAGGATAAAAGGTAAAAAATATCCATTAGATAGAAAGAAGGCAGTGGAATTTAAAGACTTGTGAGTACATAGGAGATCTTCATCGTTAACATCTGCCTCTTCCCTCCACTGACCAGGTAGAATAAAGGAAAAGCCAGGCAAATTCCAATCCTTTTCTATTAAATACAGCAAATAAGCAATGCAAGAAACACCACTCAGGGCTCCTGAGATCTTTAGCTTGCAGTGGCAGAAAAGGTCACACACTGTATCCCATACAGAGAGGACTAACAACCTCACATCAGCTCCCCTGACCTTCTTTTGAAGCAAAGATATCCTGATCCTGGGAGACAGCCCAATGTTTTGCTCTGCATCACGTTCACTTGCAAGATAATACAGGTCCTAAAGATCATAAGAAGCARTAATATACAATTAACCCAATAGCCCTCTTTTTGGTGGCTGTTAATATACTCTAGAAAGTTTTTTTAAAAACCTAATGGCTTTTTTGGTATCTTCCATGCCGGATTCATGCCAGAGCAGTAAAATGAACTTGCACATATCAGATCCTCAACCAGTGCTAGAGAAGAAAATACTTAAAACAATCAATCTCCTTAAGCATGTGCAGATTGTCACTTAWTTAGCAATAACTAGTTCCAAATTGCTCCATGCAGGTTATGACTTTTTCCCCCCCTGTTAACAGTRTGTCATCTTAACTAATTCCAACTTGAATACATGAATATCTCAGACTTGAAACTTCTCCTCCTGCCTTCTCTTTTTCCCCCACACACAGTAGGGTGTAAAAACAATAGTAGGGTAAAAAACAGTAGTAAAATGTAATTTCCAAATTGAACACACACTATTAAAGTTGCCCACTAACATTTCATATACAGGACTCAAAGAAATAATCTTGCATTTCACATAATCTGCAATGCGAGACAGCTCTTCCCAGGGAAGAAGCCCATCTTCCGAGCATCCCAGGGATGCAGGAGCACAGTTTTCCTGGGCTCTGCCAAGGCAGCATATTGGGATGGCAAACAAAACTGTTCATACTGGCACCTCCCACACCTCCAACATGGCAGGTATGATGAAAGGTCTACAGAACTAAGCTCAACAATTGATTTGTGTTTGTTATTCCCTCTAACTTAAATTCCCCTCCTCTTTGTTATTTATATTCTTCTGCTTCAGAGCACCAAAAAGAATTTTCTTGCCCTGCCTACAAACGTGCAGTTTTCAGACTAGTTTAGAATTARAGTTTAATAAATCATCCTTTTTATGACTCCATCCTTTTGAATGTACAGTATATTTATTACTTGATTATAAGCCTCATTAAAATCTATAATGATAAATTAGTTAATCTCTTGATTCTGCCACTGCTGTTATTAATTGCTTTCATAACCATTACCACACACTTCATYGGTAATAAAAGTTTTAAAGCTAGATAAAATCAACTAAGGTAAAGCTCGCTCTTAATATTGCGCTCTTAAACCTGCTCAAAGGACTCAAGTATTCACGCTCCCAACATTTAACTTAAACCTGATAAATTACTCAAAAAGTGAATGGAGACTCAGTAGAACCAGCAGTACCAATCTAACACATGAAAAGACATGTACACATTAAGGTTATACTAAATTAAAAAGCTCAAAAAAGTGTCACAGACTAACCTCTTACTATGGACAATGCATTAGATCCATTAGAAATTTACATATGCAAAATAGTAAGGATTCAGATCAGGTATCTCCAGTGATTATAAAACCTTTGGATAACCTGGCTTACTCACCAGGTACAAACTTGGAATTTAGCTATATATCTAATAATTATTATATACCTAATAATACACAGATACATCAAAAAACCTGCTTCYTTAAACACTGGGTGGGGAATGGGGGGAAAGAGACATTTGATCAGGTTTTTAGAAAGTCATTCCTCTCATCCCTTTCCCTAAACTATAAAAAAAGTTAGAGAGATGTATATATTTGCCAGCCTTCTTGGCAGTTCTACCTATTAAAGCTTAAGATTTGCAAGATTTCCCTGCCAAAATATCCTGCAAATATTCTTCTCCCCCTCAATATGAAATGTATTTTAAAGTAAGCAGACTCAGGCAGTTCAACCAAGCCCTAAATTCTTGACTGAACACCACACCAGCATTTGTTTTGATGCAATTCAGGGAACAGGTTTCATGCAATCTGTAGTGCTGAAGTCAAGCAGTCATTAGGCACAATCGCCACCCGCGCCCAGAGCAGCAACAATCCACACACCTGTTTTCCTGAAACGCTTCCAGAATTTCACTCTTTGTGATGATGTGAGGCACTCAAGCTACAAAAAAAAAGTCTTTTAAGACATATTCTGAATCTTTTAGGCATTACTTATTGCAGGAGGGTTCTGAGAAATCTGAATTTAGTGCAGGGGATTTAAGAATTGGGGAACCAGTATTAGTTTTTTCATAATTTGCTTGTAAAGACAAGAAAGTTGTCATAGTATAAAGTCTTTTTCAGGTATGGAGCAGAAACTACAAGAATTCAAAAAAAAAACCAGGCATTACACACAGTAAAGAAAAAAAGAAAAGCAGTATGCAAGAGAAGAAAGTCAAGAGTGACATTACCACCATTATCTAAGCTGTAAGAAATTCATAGTTTAACACCTATGGCAAGCCAACCAATTCAACACSAGAGTCCTTAGTCCTTTCCCAAGCACAGTCATTACGTACAGGGCAGCTCTGCCCTGCAAGATCCTTAAAYTATAAGCATTAAAAAGGAGTTAAAGCAAATGTAGGTGGTGTCACGCAACAGCAGCTGTGCACAAACCCACAGCCTGGGCCAGGAYGAGAAACAGGCCACTGCTGAGCAGGAGCTCTGAGGGTGGGACAGCTTCAGCTCCCATCTCTGTAGAGGTTTTTGACACTTTTCCCAATGCTGGGGCAGGACAAAAATCACTTCCCAGATGTTCTAAAACCTCAAATCTACAGAGAAGAGGAAGGAAAAAAATCCTCAAGCTTGAAATGCTTCAAAAAGATACCTGCCTGCTCTGTTGATTGGTAAATATTAGCTACTGTAAGGAGATGATGCTACCTTTGTGAGAAGCACAACTTATACCAAYGAAAAAGTTATTAACACTATCATGGGAAAGGATGTTCTATCATCAACCTCTTGTTTTCATTTACTCCTCACATATGTGAATCAGAATCAATGACCAAAATAATCCAATATTGGAAAAAGGCTAAAAGGAGAACAAAACTATGAACGCATTAATATTTAATTCAATATTTCAGACTCAATAGTCTCATAAAAGGGACATCTTAGTGATCATACACTGTTTAACAGACTACACTGGTGACTTTACATTCTATGCCTAAAATATTGTTTAGAAGATCAAATGTCAAAGTTTATTATCGGAACCACGTCCTCTCTACAGCTCCATAAAGTTAACCAATCTATACAGTTCCTTCATGGGTATATAGTAAGAGATTCAACACAAAACTAACCAAAATGCATTCCCAATAGCTGTCTATATTAAACATCTAAGAAATTTCCTTCAGATCTTTCAGTCTTTGCTGTTTTCAGCTTTCTGAAACTAAATAATCTGTAAACCATATTAAATACATTTTCCCATGTCAAAACATGCATAAAGACATTTAAAATTACTGTTGCCTTTCTTCTTCTTTCAAAGAATGGAGAAAAACATCTGAGGCTACTTGGCTATACACAGCCAACTTAGGGAATATATCAGATAAACAAAAAAYTGCCACAGTATGAATGGTGAAAATTTCCTTTTCATCTTGGTGATTTCTTTTTAAAATAATATTAAAGCTCTTCAGTTTACATTTGCTTGCTGGAAACAAGATAATYCAAACTCTACACATTCAGCTCAGAAAAGTCACTACATATTAGGAAGAGTGAAGGGAAAAAACTTCAAGGTTTAAATCCTCCCTCCACCACTCTTTGTAGCTAAGCCACAGCATCAGCACCAGTAGCTTCCAACAACTATATACACCAAGCAAGTTTCTACCTGGTTAGTATAACATAGGAAAGAAAATATTGCTGATGTAGGGCACAGTAAAGCAGTTGAGAAAAAAAGGCACGAATGTCCTTAATTCTGGCCATCAGCTAAACCAATATACATGATCATGCACCCTACCAATCTACTCGGCCACTGTCGGCCTCCTTTAATTTTCTTTATGGATTTATAAAGAGTTTCTTTTTATTATACACAGTTACACCATGCTCTGTATGAGGATACTGGGCAAGCTGTTAACTCTATTAACTTAATAATAGATTTTTGAGTGTGATTTCCAATTAATTTCAATTCCCACATTCCTAGCAAAGCCAGAATTACAGAGAGCCATATGGTGTCTCATAAGTAACAATTAAAAGTTATTTTCTAATCTTTATGTGCTGAAAAAGCCCCATAAAAATACATACGGTTTCAATGATGTGAAGAAAATGAAGCTCGGAAATGACTGCAGACGACCAGGAAGCTCCGCACACTCTCTCCTGTTTATACATTTCCAGYTCATGTTATCCCTTGTTTTATGATTAAACACAGCATGTGCCCCAAAGATCATAATTAAGATTGTTCTACTGAAGTCAGAGTTTCACAGTCATGCAGTTCAACTTAGAGGAAGATCTATGTAAAACAACTCGTGTCAAGACTTTGACACTCTTTAATTTAGCCTACTGCATCAATTTGCTAGCAAACTTACTCAAGTTAGTGAAGCTGTCCCAGAACTCACTGCACSTGGGAGCTTGCAAAGCTGTTATAGGACCTTGTTATTCTACTAGAGTGAAAATTCACACTATCCAACATAGGTGTGCAACTCCAATTGACAGAGTACTGAGAGAAAAAAAAATAAAAAACAGTGCTGCCTGCCTTTTTGGACTTGTTGGGTATAAACATACATAAAGCAGGAACAAATACATCTTCCTTATTCACATCCTGGATAACTGGCCTTTACTACTGTGATTATGAGAAGTCAAACTAATGTACAGAGACACTTTATTCTCTTAT